CTAGCTCTCCGGCTGGCGACAGAGAGACGTCTCTTTCTTCCCGCGACACCCAAAAGGGTATAAGCGGCGGATAAAAGTAAAAGTAAGTTAATAAACGTAAACCACAACGCAACCAAATGACCGAGGCCGTGTCGACGTACTTTTTTCCTTTACCCAAACAAGCAAGGACGCGTCCATAGTCTCTTCCCTACTTTATTTGTCCATCCATCCTCTCATCCATTCATCCACCCAACCACCCATCTACCCATTTACTTATCCATCCACCCACCCATTCATCCATCCACACACCCATCTACCCATCCATCCATCTGCCCATCTATCCATTCATACACCCACCCACCTACCCCTCCATCCGTCCATCCATCCATCCACCCACCCACACATCCATCCATCCAACCATCCACCCACACACCCCTCCATCCATCCACCCACCCACCCATCCACCAACCCACCCACCCTCCCGTGCACCAATCCATCCATCCTTCCAACCATCCAACCAATAATCCACCCATCCATCCACCCATCTGCCCATCTATCCATCCATACACCCACCCGCCTACTTGACGTACCCCTCCATCCATCCATCCATCCATCCATCCTCCCACCCATCCGTGCACCAATCCATCCATCCAACCATCCATCCATCCATCCACCTACCCACCCACCAACGCACCAATCCATCCATCCATGCAGTGCGTCCATCGCCAGACTGGAGCAGTATGACACAAAGAGGAAACACATCAACACTTTCTCTGTTCTTTTCTGTGTTGTGTAACACGTTCCAACCCCCCCCCCCCAATCCTTCCCGCCCACACGTGTATGACGCATGAGTCCTCACCTTCCTTACGTCCATCCATCCACCCACCCAACCATCCATCCATCCATCCATCTACCTATCCATCCACCCAAAACAGAGCAGTATGACACAAAAGGGAAACACGTCAACTCTTTCTCTGTTCTTTTCTGTGTTGTGTAACACCCTCCACCCCTCCTCCCTCCCCCCTCTTCTACCCCCTCCCACCCCACCCCCCTCCTCATCGCCCACACGTATGACGCACGAGTCCTCACCTTCCTCACGTCCATCTATCCATCCACCTGTCCTCCATCCTGAGGGTGGTTGGAGGGCGGCACTAGTGCGTCTCACTCCTCCCTTTCTTTCCCTCTGTCGTTTCTATGATCTATATATATATGTATGTTACTTTTCCCCTGCACTATATTATGACCGTTATTGTGTGTGTCGATATGTACATCTTTACACAAGACTCAAAGCTTCAGACGTTCTTCCTTCCCCAAGTGCGGGTGGTTGGCGGGTGCTATGGTGTGGTTTGCTCCTTCTTTCCTATCACACGTCTGTTCGTCCTTTTCTCCCCTCCTTTTATATTGTGTTTGTTAATCTCATGTAAAACTTCTGATCTTCGGCACTTATATGACCTTATTGTGTTGCAAGTGCCGTAAAACTCTCACTGAAACTAAACTTCCCCAAGTACCCGACTCTCACTCATACCGTCATCAGTACGTGTACAAGTTATTCCGTCATGGCTCTGGGTGTGCGAGAATAACATAACCTTGTATCATGTCCATCCAACATCTATTCGTCGGTGTGTATGTCCGTGTATGTCTTGTATGTTGTGTTTTGTGTGTTAGTGTGTGTTAGTGTGTGTTAGTGTGTGTGTGTGTGTGTGTGTGTGTGTGTGTGTGTG